AATTACGGAAGTTCCTCCATCACCATCATGACTATTAATAGTTTCCGTAGAAGATATCAACCTTTATGTCACTTAAATAGTTTTAGACCACAGTTTAACAGGGAAGTTCACTACACATCACAACCATCAAGAAAGGACATGACTGAGGCAACAATTTAGATAAAACGTGTTTGATTGAATTAATTAGATGATCTTACATAATAACGCATCCTTTAAGTTCACCTACTGTTTTAGTAACCAGGTGCAATAATAAAAAAAGAGGAACAATTTACTGAACACGAAAAGGCCACAAATATATATATATTTTTTTTCATTCTGCACACACTTTTTAAAAGAGCAGAAAGTACAAAACCTGAATCATAAAATCGCAGAAAAGTCAGGCTGGAAGAGACTGTGGGAGGTCATCTAGTCCAGTGTTTCTCAACCCATGGATCATGACCCAAAAGTGGGTTGCAAGAATATATGAAAAGGTCACGAACAAACTTTAAAAATGGATCCTCGTTTAAAGGAGAAAAAATGGGGAATTGTGGCTTTTCCTTGGCCGGCTGGCAGACTTCCAGGCCTGCAAGGGGCTGCCTGAGCCCCCCCCACCCCCACACACCCAGCCCTTGCCCACACCCTAGGCTTGGGGGTGGGGACAGCAGGTTGGGAGTGAGGGGCACTGGGTCGGACCGGCTGCTGATGGATCCTGATACAAAAACGGTTGAGAACCACTGATCTAGTCCAACCCCCTCTGGAGGCAGGATCACCCCCATGCAAACCAGCCCATACAGTCTCAGCCAGGAGTTCCCAACACTGGTGTGCCCAAGGGCACATTCAAATTTAAAAGATAAAACAGCAGGCGCCAATATGAATATTAAAGTATTTAGATCAACAAATATTAAAGTATTTAGATCAATCCCACCTGAATAAACCTTGGGCGGGGGGCATGCCGCCCATGGGCACCGCACTGGGAACCGCTGATTCAAAACCTACCTAAGTCTGTAGTCAACCACAGACCTCACGCCCGAACCTGCCACTGGTAAAGCAGAGGAGCCACGGAAACTCCCCGTCCTTCCCTAAATCTATCGGTGCCGATATCAGTTCTCTCCCAACCTCCTGACACTGGCAGGCCCCAGGTTTGGGAGCCTGAAGCCCACGTGGAAACCTCCGGCGCTCCTGAAGAGCAGGAGCTCGCTCCCCCGAGCCTGCACGACTCGGCAGCGCTTTCCGAGGAGCCCTTGCAGGGCGCTTGCCGGGCTGCATCACTGCCCCGGGCACAGCGAATCAGTGCCGGCCAGCAGCTCAAACGAGGGCAGGCGAGGGAGTTTCCCCTGAGATGGAGTGGCTCTGAAAAACTTTCCCCGCAGCGGCAGACCCAGGCCAGGAGCTGCCGAGGTCCCGCACTCACGTCCTCTGCACCGTCTTCCTCCGCTTCCTCCCCGCGTACATCTTCCCCGGCTCATGGGCACCCGGGGGGAGGGGGGGCGGTGCTCAGCGGGCCCCGCGCGGGCCGCCC